CACTGCTGTATGCAGTTGGCTACCGCGTTTCGCCCATAAGAAATATAGGCAATTCACTTTACAGTATATTCTGTGAAGCTGTTTGAGACGTCTCGAAGATGTGACAAGGCGCTGTATCAAATGCAAGGATTATTATTATTATCCCCGTAGTTTTTCACATTGATTTTCTTGAGACTGTTTGTGAAGATGGTCTTAAGACTAGAAGATTAAGTAGAGCTGAGGTGCTTCCTCCAAGGGAGGTGTCAGTAAATTAGTCATCAAACTAGTTTGGATTAACTCGGGTTCATCTGGAGGAGATGTTTAAAAACGGTTTCTGTCCTTTTATTAATTTTCACAGTCCTGCACTTTTCTTTTCAGATTATTTGATCTTTTGCCCTCCTTTCACTGTGTGTTAATCCCCTCTCCTTTTCCTCGTCGGACCAGTTCTTGTTACTATTATAGACGATCATGAATGACACCATATGTATTTATGGTTTACTGTATTACTGATTTGGCACGCAACATAATTGGTTTACGAACCTTGACAGGCAGGTGTTTTGGAGTTCATTTTTGCCAAGATTACTCGGCGTCTTTGTAATATGATGTAAGATGGAAAATTACTGTTGATTGAACCAGCATCAGGAACAAGAGAGAACTAATTGAGAGAAGTAATTCAAAACGTATATTCAGTGTAACTGTATCTGGGCTTGATTGTCACAGTATATTACCATTTCACTAGCTTCTGATTAGGAATAGGTTCCTTTAGCTGATATTTCACTCTTAAGGAAGGCCAATTGTTGCCCCCAGCTGAGATCAGCTAACTCGGCACAGCTATAAGGTTTTGCTACACAGACCCAGGAGATCCGAAGATTCACTAACTTTATCAACTGGTTTGGTTGTAGGGGAGCTATAATCTTATACTGGTTTATGATCTATTCAGTGCTTCAGTTAGATCATAAGTATGGGTTTATCACGTTGCCTACAGTATAGTAGAGGATTCTAGCAGCCGAGAGTTATATTCCCAGCTTGCTTTTACCCTATGGGCAGGTCATGCTCTGGACATGTTAACAGCTTGGTTATACTGGTGGCTTAATGCTGCTTAATTTAACTCCATTAACCATATAAGCTCTGTATCAAAGTAAAATAAATCCTTGATATTATCCACTGGGCTGCCTGGAAACTTTATCAATATATATTTTTACTTTTTTCTAAAAAAGTTCACTTCTACCAACTATGGTAATATTACAGGCAAAGATTATCCATTGAACAATTAGTCTCACACCACTTGTCTAATTCTGTATTTTGATTTGAAAACCAGTTTGTCCCTGTGTGTATAAAAAGCATGTCTTACTTGGTACTAAACTATGTAATATAACTGGCCCTGAAGAATTTGGTGAGTGTATTTGATTGTTTCATATCTATCTGCTCTTCAACCCCTCTCTCCTATCAAGTCTCACTTAAAGTCTGATCTCACAGATAGCTTCTTATGAAACTATTCAATCATCTGTGCAGCATCTAACATGAAGGTGATGGTTGAATGATGCTCAGGAACAGTGTCATTTCACTTTGACTCTTTAAAGCATGACCGAGCTTCTCCATTTTCAGAAGAGAAGACAATCTGTATTTCTGGGAACTGTCTAAATAATTTTCAGTTGTCAAGGTTAACATACTTTCTGTACATGTTTTGAAGAAGGTAGAGATTTTAGTGGATAGCGATCCAAGAATTTATATTGCATTCAAGTCCAAATGTATTGTTTGAGATTGTTATGGATGTTTAGAGGATAGGGTCATAATTGTTGCTGGCACAAAGTATGATATTTTAATACAATGAACTGCGTATTTAATACTTGTATTCGGACCTGACTTAAAGCGTTTGTTTCTAAATCAGTTGCTTCTTATGACAGGTTGTAATCTTATTTGCTAGCATAGACTTGTGAACAGAAGGTGGCACAGTGCTGTTGGAAGCAAACTTCAGTGTTCCCATTTGAGCGTTCTCATGTTTGATAACATAATTTGGCAAATAAATCCACTGCACATTTGTCCCCCTCCCCGCTCCTCCTGCCATCCACCCAATCTATAGCTTGCTATTGGAATTTTTTCTGTTATGTACTTGAGGATTTTCACCGCTTTGTGCTTTCAGCACACTTCACTGTGTAATACCAGGGTACAGGTTCACCCTCACCACCACCCCCATAAGTCTTTGCCCATTTGCCTACAATCTCATGCCTTGAATGATGTGGAGTTTATACCACCCACATTGCTTTGAAATTAAATGCCTTGAAGTTTGTGCAGAACGTCCAAATTGATGTTTATATTTATGTTATTAAAAATCTACTTGTGCTTTAAATGACATTTCATGGCTATTTATGGAACCTTCCTTGTGCGTATGTTTGCTGTATTTGTTTCCCAAAACGGCCACTAAGCTCGACAGTAATTACTTGTGTAACACTTTGAGATGTTTCAAAATGCTGAGGTGTTATCAAAATGCCTCTTTTGTTATTTCTAAAATACAGTCCATTCAAAATTTCCATTGTGTCCCTTGAATCAACCAAGAAAGTGCTGAATCAATCTTAGTGGGAAGAAGCCCACTGTGATTTACACCAACTGTAGTTGCACTGCATAAATCACACAGCTTCTGATACTATCTCCTCTATAGAGTGGCTCCAATGCAGCTTGCGCTCCCCAAGACGTGACAGTCATAGAATCAGTGCCAAAATCACAATGATTCATTGCCAAATGTCCAATATAATGCAGCGTAAGGGAGAAACTATATTCATTTAAAATGCAGGCAAGAAATGAGTAAACAAAACAAAAGACCTGGGTTTGATTCTCGGCAGGACGAAACTTTGGGCCAGTTTCCTTACTCCACACACCTGATAATAATCCCTCAAGAAAAAAAACAATAATAAATTGGTCACTTCAATCCACGACTGTTTGTGGGATACTGCTGTACGCAATTGGCTGCTGCGTTTCGCGCACAAATATATACAGTCAATTCACTTTACAGTATATTCTGTGGAACGCTTTGAGACGTCTAGGAGATGTGACAAGCGCTATATCAAATGCAAGGGTTATTATTTATTATTATAAAACCAGTAACAATCAGCTTAGGTTTTCCCACTCTGATTTCTCCTTCTATAGTTCTTGAAATACTCTGAGCTCCACGTTATACTGCCAACATGAAAGCAGGAGGAAGTCATAAACTGTCTTATATTAATAATCTAGTAACATTGCAGCACTTTGGAATGGTGTAAACTATGACTTAATTGCTTATAAAATGAAATTAGATTTCTGAAACCTGACTGCTAAATTCTGAACACAGTAAACAGCAACTTTGGAAATTTGTTTACTGTTTTTGCTTATCTGAGTGAAAAAAAAGTTGTTCAGAAAATACACCCCAGAATAATTTGTAGATAATTTCTATTTTCTATTCAGACTTGTGAATTGGATGTTTATAACCCAATTGAAAAGGTGTTGTAAATCAAGAATATGAACTGTGGTTAAAAGTAACCTGCAGAGTACAAACGGTAGTAAAAATAAAATTGCAGTTTCCTAGTGCCATTGCTTATCACTAATATTGATACCGTAGTTGCATACATGCTTTGTTAGATTTTTGGTTAAAAAACTGAAAAACGGTACTGAGAGTTTTTGATTTGGGTGGGGGAACTTACAGACAGAATGGAGTTTTATTAAATTCCAATAAAAGCAGCTTTTGCCCAATCAGGTTCATCAGTCTGGTGGATTTAGGAAGTGGAAATCCCTTGAAAATAAGAGGATTGCAGTATTTTATCAATCACCTTAAAAATACAAAAGTATAGATGAAATGAATCTGTATAAGACACTGGCTATGCCGCAGCTACCATATGTGCCATTTCGGGGGCCACATTATGGAAAGGGTGTTAGAGGTATGGACAGGTTGAAGCAAAGGTTCATGATAATAATCCCTCCAAAACCAAAAAACAATAATAAATTGGTCATTTTCAATCTACGACTGTTTGTGGGACATTGCTGTGCGCAATTGGCTGCCACGTTCGCCCACAAATATACAGTCAATTCACTTTACAGTGTGTTCTGTGAAGCGCTTTGGGACGTCCTCCCAACGTGAAAAGCGCTGTATCAAAAATGCAAGGATGAAGATGATACAGGAGATGAAAAGATACAGCTATGAGGAGCAGCTGGAGAAGTTAGATTTTTTCTCATTGTAGCAGAGAAAGTTCGGAGGTGATACGGTTATGACAGGTGTGTTTTAAAACAATGAAAGGATTTGAAATGATTAATTGTGAAAACTGTTTCCATTGATAGAGAATTCAAGGACAAGAAGTGGATATGAATTCTATATTGTGAATAGAGGAGTAAAAGGAGATGTTTGGAAGATCTTCTTCCAGAAGCTTGTGAGGATATGAAATGATTTGTTAGGGGTGCTTGTTAGAACCGAGTCGATTGGGAATCTAAAAGAGAATTGGTCAAGAACATCCAGTGGAAGGATATTAGAGGGTATTGGGAAAGAATAGGGAATTGGGGTGGGTTTTTGGAGGAACGAAGACCCACATAAAATAATGGGCTGTGTTGTATGGTTCTAAATCTGTAGGTGTATGGTTCAAAATGTTTCATTCTGGTTTATGCTGTTTATAAAGTAAACATATAAAACAATTTGGTAGTATCACTGTCAGATCACTTGTTCATAAAAATGAGAGATTGCATTAAATGTATGTTCCAAACGAGCTGAACTCGTGTTTATGAAGACAAATGTAGAACTTCATAGAGTCTGTGGTTTAGTTCACTTCAGGCATGAAATGTGATAGACATTCGAGTTAGAACTGAACTTCGTTTTAAGTTCAAGAATAAAATTAACTTAATTAATTGAAATATGTTCTGCAGTTTATTTTAAAAATCAGTACAAGATTGTCTCAAGATTTCTTGGTTTTCTTTTGCTGTGCACTAAAATAAGTCTGCTTTTGAAACAAGAAAAACGCTGCCAGGGAAGAATTGTGTTGAATTCATCCCACGTTTTTTCCTTTCAGGAAAGCTCAAGAACAAAGGAAAAAGGTGGTAGTAGCTGGATGTGTTCCTCAAGCCCAACCTCGAATGGACTACATCAAAGGGTTGAGTATTATTGGGGTAAGAAATCTATTCAAACCATTCTTGAGAAATTCTTTCAAGTTAATTGGATATCTGTGTGTACCTTTTGGCTTCGAGGCATTGTACATATATACAGGGGAGGCTCATTATGGCATTATAATAATAAATTGATCAGTCAATCCATGACTGTTTGTGGGACACTGCTGTGCGCAATTGGCTGCCGCATTTTGCCCACAAAATATACAGTCAATTCACTTTGCAGTATATTCTGTGAAGTGCTTTGAGACGTCTCGAAGGTGCTATATCAAATGTAAGGATTGTTTATTATTATTATACTTGGCCCAGCACTGCCTTGCTGTACACAGTAGGCCATTATTTGGCCTATTATTTTGTGTCGGTCTTCGCTTCCTCCAAAATTCCATCCATCCAAATCCCCTATTTTTCCCAATATCACTGTAATACCATTTCTCTGCATGTGTTTGTCCAATTCTTTTTTTAAACACCCCAATTTGGGCTTCAAAAAATTCATCACAACAAGGTTGCCCAGCATGTGGAAAATTGGAAAGTGAAACACAGATCCTTGCACTAGAAATATATTTTTTACTGTGACAATGGACGCAGTTCTTTCGTGTCTGTTTAGTTGTCAACAGAATTAGAGCGCTGCTCAGACATCCAGCTTCCCAGAAATATGGGCTGCGAATCTGTTTATATCTGATATTGCAGAAAGCTACATCATATCCAAGCAACTACACATTAGCAATGGGTTACAGTGGCTTAATGAAAGATGTTCTCATCTATTCTTCCAAAGCAAAAACTCATCTTAAACATAAATCTTGTATTTGATATGACGCCTATAGCAATAACGTATCTCAAAAAGATTCACAGCAACTCACTGTTGAAAGATTAAGCTATGAACAAGAATGCTTCTGTGATATTTGTTTAATATGTTGAGTAAAACCATTTTGATAATAATAATATTAAATAATAATCCTAGCATTTCATATAGCGCCTTAGCATGCTGTTGGTCTTAAAACACTTCACAGAATATATTGTAAAGTGGATTCACTGTGTACGTATGGGCGAAATGCAGCAGCCATTTGTACACAGCAGTATCCCACAAACAGTCATGGATTGAGTGACCAAATATATCTTTTTTGGGAGGGATTATTACACCCAGAAAACAATCCTCCAATCTTATTATTATTATTGCTAGATAAACCGAGTCATATGGAATAACAGTAACAACAACTTACATTTGTATAGCACTCCTCACACCAGGGTAGTGTCCCAGAGTGCTTAAGCCCAGAATGAGGAAAGATTTCACCTCACCTGGGATTCAAACCCTGGTCCTCTCGGTTAAGAGGCAAGTGCGTTAACCACTACCCTACGGGATTCCACAATGTTCTTACAGGCTAAGACAAGGTGGAATTTCGGAGCCCCTGTTGGGGTAATCAGTCTTCTGGAGTGGCAGGGCGTGAAGGCAGGTGACTTAACGCGGGTGCATTGTGGGCCGAGTCTCCGCAGTGGTCAGGGCTGGCCCGGTGCCCGGTGTCATAGACCCTGGTCTGTGCCGCACTGGGCACCATGCGGGGGTGCCACTCATAGAGAGCAGTTTGGAGAGTCGTGGTTAGAATAGCATCAATTCATCCTGCTTGTTGGTGTTTCGGATTTTCCTTATGAAAAATGGAGGTTTGGTATGAGAAGAAGTGATACCATTGGGTAAATGCTCTTCTCACACAGCTCAATAGCGGGATGGAACAGGGAAAAAGGGTTGGGGATGCAGAGTCACCGTGCTTCCTTTACTTCAAGCGCTCCAGGATGCTATCCCGTGTGTACGGCGCTATATAAATGCAAGTTGTTGTTGCTGTGACGTTGGCAGTGGCGATAAAGAAAGTAATAAAAGTAGAGCTCTAATGTTTTTCCGCAGAGGCTTGCGCTTCTGGGGTCTTCGTGCCTTTTGTCCTGTGATGTCATACTTTTCCACGTCTGTGCAGAATTGAACAGTGCTGCAGGCACCTATTTCCGATTTCAGGGGAAAAATAATAAGGCTTGGTGTGGAAAAAATGGCCCGCTAATATTCACTTTGGATTGCAGTCCATTCCACAGTACAAAAACACCATTAGTTTCAGACTAATGGATGACAGATGATTTACTTAGGGAGTCTTCTGTTCTCAGAAAGACATTGGCGTTCTTTCTGCTCGGCAGCATTGGCTAACCTCACGTCCCCCGCCCTGCCTGCCCCACCGCTGAGCAGTGAAACTCGGTATCCTCTAGCTCAGTTGGTAACATATTTTGCCTCTGAGCCAGAAAGTTGTGGCTTCAAGCCCTACATCGGGACTTTGAGCTCCCGACATGTAGACTGATACACGAGAGGTGTTGTCCTTTGGATGAGATGCTGGTGGATATTAAAGATCCCAGGGCACTATTCAAAAAGGGAAGGAAGTTTCTCTCGGTGTCACTATGAACAATCACATGATAAAATTGGTCATTCACTTCATGGCTGTTAATGGGATATTCCTTTGTGCAAATTGACTTCTGTTTTTACTATACTATACAGTAAATTGTGAAGTACTTTGAGATGTTTCAACAATGTATTACGATGCTATAGTAATATAATAATAATCCTTGTATTTGATATAATAATAATCCTTGCATTTGATTTGACGCCTTATCACATCTTTGAGACATGTCAAAGTGCTTCACAGAATATATTGTAAAGTGAATCGACTGTGTGTTTTGTGGTTTATATCAAATGCAAGGATTATTTATTTTAATAACTGCAATAATGCCTCACTGTGGTGCTGATTTTTATGGATTCCAACCATCATGTTATACTGAGGTTCACTATTCATTGTGCAACACAGTTTTTCTGTCAGCCAAAGGCCTGACACATATGAGAAAAACCATCACGATCAAGCAAATTAGACTGAAAGATCCACCCGTATGCCACCAACACATGTTAATTTCCCAGTTTGTGGAATGGAATGTGTGCTCTCTCTCTGGATGGATGTTCGCTACTTATCTAATTGCTGAGAATATTAGACTCAAGTTGGCAAAGACCATGGCTTAGGGACCCCAGAGAGTGTATATAGATACTGTGTACTGTGGATAGATAACAAGCTAAAACTGCATAACTTGCCATCATTGAGAGCACTGTCTGGCAAACGTTTTGCTGCTTGTTCATCTGGGACCATCCTACCCTTTAGAGTTTTGGCTTACAGGAGCTGAGTGGGAAGAATCCCTACTCCTGGGGAATGTGTTTTAATGAAGTATTGTTTATAGCTGTAATCTTTTTTCCACCCCCATTTCAGGTTCAACAAATAGACCGTGTCATTGAAGTTGTTGAAGAAACAATTAAAGGTGAGCTGGGTTTTTAAACATTATAGTGCCTTCCTATTTCATGTTTTGGTAGTTCCTCGATAAAGCAACATTTATCAACTATCTTTGTTTCCTTTAATCTTATTATAACCAAAAAGCCTTTGTACAAACAATGATGTCTCCCATTGCCTGTAAAGAATACTTATTGTCCTTTGCAAGTGCTACAAATCATTTTGTATATTTTTTCTCCCTCTTTTCACTTGACAATAACTTGAATGGAGCTTACATGTATGTTATTTCCTCTGCTGCACATTAGCACTGCACATTTCGAGCAGATTTATGGGTGATCTGAAAGCAACTAATTTGGCAAAATAATCCCATCATGCTGTTTCCTTGTTTATTGCTACCTCACAGTGTTCTGAGAGGCTTGAGATGCCACGTGAAGGGAGTTATAAAAGTACAAGTTGTTTTTGCTGCTGCTGCCTCACAGTGTTTGGACATGGTGTGCAATGAGTTAAATAACACTGCTGTGTCTGCTTTAATACCCCTCTTAACAAGTTCTTTCCCAGTTGTAAAATACCGTCTCACTCTAGAACTTTGATGTGATCAATTTTAATGCTTTTTTCATATTGAGTTCCTCTCTGAGACGTTCTCCCACATGAAGGGTTGCTATGTAAATGCAACTTGTCGTTGTTGTTGAGTTGTGCAGAAGTGGATGTCATTTGGCTTCTCCAATCCTGTTCATTTGAGCAAGCAACCAAATGAGGTTTAGCAGTATCTTGCTGAAACCTGAAACTACTCACGTGGAAACCTTGCAGGAAAACTTCCAATCTACTTCGCTGACAGAAAGCTATGCATAAAATTATGATAAGTGTGTGTGTATGAATTTGAAAAATAAGGTCTGTTGTTTATGAGCAATAGAATTGTTCTATTCATTTTCACTAGTGCGTGCCATGGTTAGCGTATAACATCTGGCTTGGTTCTGATGATGTAGTGTAGGCATTATGGTCTGTATGCAGTTTGCTTACATGATGCGTCTTATTGTACCTTCAGTTTTCTTTTTCTTTGCCAGTAAAATTAACACAACAATTGCTCTTTACTGTCGTGAGTTTCCTGTTTTGTGCCATGGGAGTATAACTGAAAATTATCAATGTTCAACATAGCTTTACTGCAAGTGGCCATAATGTCACTTGACAGATTGAGGGTTAATGAAATATATAGGGTATTATAAAATATTGGTAATCTATTTTGAAATAAATTAACACAAATTTGAATTTTGTGCTGCAAGGTTGAAAACCATTTCAATTTCAAAACACACCGTAAAAGGTGAACTGAAAGAAAAAAAAGTTACAATTCATTAACTAAGTACTTTCACAAAATATAAAATAGTAAATATAGAAAAAGAGAAAATAGGAGGGAAATATGAGGCAGTTTTTATTTCTTATGACATTTTTTCAATTTTTAATTCTGATTCGCTTTATCACTGTAACACAAAGAGATATTTCAGTTTACAAGACGTGAGTAGAAAGGTTTTATGAAATAGTCTGGTCAGCCTAGATTTTCTGGAGTGTTGGTGCTCTTTGAGTTATGAATCCTATCCAGCCTGATGTTCTACCCAGAGTAAATAAAAGCATTTCTGCGTTTAGGCCAAGTTGCTAATTTTGATTAGCATCTGGAGAAGATTGGGATGTTACCTGTAGAACTCATCAACTGCACAGCAATATTCTTCGGATTTTCCTGATACTTCACTGCCTACTTGTCACAGTTAGCTCTTCTTTTGTGCCCCCTTTTGTAGCAAGATGGATTAATGCTAACCCAAAATGAAGCTCATCGCTGTAGTTCCCATTTAGGGACACTTATCTGTACCTTCATCTAGCCTTGTCCGTCAACATAGGGGCTCCATTTACACTACTCCAGCAAGTATGAAACAAAATTTGCATCTATGTTGTTATTCATTTGCTGAAATCAGATAATAGGCAGTGTTAATGCATCCCCATATGGCTGTTCACGTGCACCCTCTGAAATTGTCCCAGCATGAAACATTCCTCAGGTGGATTTATATTATGCCAGGACCAATTAGGAGCAAAGAGTCTGTAATACCTATTCTGCCAAATGAAGCTCAGCTTTCAGTTGCCATTCAGGTGTACTGTGACCTCCCACCTAGCTGTATTAAACAAAGCTCCTTCTGTACCTCTCGCTATTTTTGTAAACCACAGGTCTTTTTGTAACAAACCATCTACTTTTGTTCTATGTATTATTGTTTTTTGATATATGGCAAAGAAGTGTGAGATTGCAGATTTACCTATGCTTATATTAATACAATGAGAGATATCTTCAATCACTGCCACTACAGTATTCTGTTAACATCACAATACTATTTTACATAAATAACAAACAAATAACTTCTGTCACCATGTCCCCTGTCCCCTGGAACTTTTGTCCAAAATCTTTCTCCTTCTTTTGCTCTCCCTTACCTTCAAAACCTTCTTGAAAACCAGTCTCTGACTGCTAAATCACCTAAATCACTCAATTCCATGCTTCGTATTTGTACTTAGTACTCAGTACAAACTTCCTGCACGGCCTTGCTCCTCTCTACCTCTGTGATCTCCTAACCCCCTACCAATCTGTCCACTGCCTCGACCCAGCGGGCTCCTGCCTGCTTCACGTCCCCCGCCTTGCCCGCCCCATTATTGGTTGTCGGGCCTTCAGCTTCTCTGCCCCCACCCTCTGGAACTCCATCTCACAAACCCTCCTCTTCGACCTTGCCTTCAGTCACCCTCCTACACCTACCCTCCCCGCCCTTTTGATCCCAACCACCAGCTCGGGTGCGGATCCCTGAGTGTCCAGCACCTTTGGAGGCTTTTCCTCCAGCCCCCGCACTGTCTCGTGCGGCGTCCCTAAGGCCTCTGTCCTCGGTCCCCTCCTCTTCACCCTCTAATGCTCCCCCTTGGTGACATCATCCGCAGACATGGGGTTAACTTCCACATGTATGCGGATGACACCCAACTCTACCTTTCCTCCTCTACCCTCAACTCCACGACCACCGATGTCCTGACAGCCTGTCCGACATTGAGTCCTGGACGAGAGACAACTTTCTTCAGCTCAACGTGCGCAAAACTGAGGCCCTCCTGATTGGCTCACGTCAGTGCCTCCGCACCTCAGGCACTGACAGCATCAGCATCCAAGGCTGCACTCTCCACCTCTCAAAGCCAGTCAGGAACCTCGGCGTTCTGTTCGACCCTGAGCTGTCCTTTCTTCCCCACATCCGCGCCACAACTGGCACCGCCTTCCACCACCTCCGGAACATCGCCAGACTACGGCACTACCTCACCCCTCACGCTGCTGAAACCCTGGTCCACGCCTTCATCACCTCAAGGCTGGACTATAGGAACTCTCTCCTCGCCGGCCTTCCCGGCACCTCCCTCCACAAGCTGCAGGTCATTCAGAACTCTGCAGCTCGTGTACTGTCCCGCACCAGGCTTCACGACCACATAACTCCCACCCTCGCTCGCCTCCACTGGCTCCCCATCCTTCAGAGGATCGAAGATCCTCATCTACAAGGCCATTCACTCCCTCCTACCTCTCCGACCTACTATCCCCCTACTTACCTGCCCATACCCTCCGTTCCTCTGGCTCCGGTCTGCTCCACATCCCACGCCCTAAACGCCTTACCATCTGCTCCACATCCCCCGCCCTAACCGCCCTACCTAGGCTCTGGAACTCCATCCCCCAGTGCCTTCGCCTTGCTTCCTCCCTTTCCTCCTTCAAGGCCAGTCTCAAGACCTTTCTCTTCAACCGTGCCTTCAGCTCCCCTCTCGACTCTCTACTCCCTCCTCGCTCCCTCCTTCCCTCACCCTGACCATTTACCCATTTACCATTTACCATTTACGTGGAGTCCTGTAGCTCAGTGGTTAGAGCACTCGCTTTGCAAGTGAGAGACCTGAGTTCAATTCCAGGCAAGGCGAAACCTTGGGCAAGTTTCCTTACTCCACACGCCTAATAATAATCCCTCCAAAACCAAAAACAATAATAAAATTGGTCATTTTCAATCTACGACTGTTTGTGGCACATTGCTGTGCGCAATTGGCTGCCGCTTTTGCCCACAAATATACAGTCAATTCACTTTACAGTGTGTTCTGTGCAGCGCTTTGGGACGTCCTCCCGACGTGAAAAGCGCTATATCAAATGTAAGGATTATTATTATTATTATATTACCCCTACTCAGATCTCGACCCAACTGTCCAGCGCCTTGGGACGTCCTCCCAACGTGAAAGGCGCTCTATAAATGCAATCTTGTTGTTGTTGTTGGACGTCCTTGTGACGTGAAAGGTGCTATACAAATGTAATTTGTTGTTGTTGTGATTATTTTATTAGATTTGTTAAGCGAATCGAAATGTTCATCCTACCTAAAAGGCCCTGTGCAAGAGCAAGTTGTTCAATAGAACAACTACTTTTATTATAGATATCTGTTCGTACAATTGCCAGTTTTCTTATGATTGGAGTTGAGCTCACAAAATTATGATACCACAGGAAGTGCCTGTAGGCATCAAGCATGCATCAACAAGTTTGACCTGGCAGGAAGTACTTGTCTGTTAGTTAAAAGTTAATTAATATCTGTCCAAAATCCCTTTGTCTTTGATATTTTGAAAGAGTGACTCACGACCGGTGGCAAAGCATGTAAGTTTAGGGTTAGACGAGGAAATAATATAATTCAATAACTGAAATCAGTTGCTACACTAGCTATTAATCATAACATATTTAATGTTGCGGTATTGTGAAGATAAAATAGCATTGTGTGAATGCTGCTTTTGTGAACTATACTCTGAATTTGCTTCGGTTGCAGACCATTTGTACAGTATTTCAGTACGTCAGCAAGTTATTTTGCTCACAAAATACATGGTCAATCTACTTTACAGTACAACCTGTGAAATGCTTTGAAACATCTCAACGATAAACCACTATATAAAATGCAAGGATTATTATTATTTTTATTCTGTGAATTGTTGGCCGGGACGCCACAAGAAATTCCTTTCTCTTTTCAA